GATAGTCATAATGTCATAATGTAATATCTAGAAACAGAAAATCATAACTTTTACTGATTTATTTCTCGATATGATATAAAAAAATTCCTACTATAAAATCTGAAATGAGCGTTTTTCTCCTTTTTCACACGTTTTGACGTAAGTAATATTTGTCTCCGTAACTCCGCGCGTATCGCGTCTCTCTATCATGTAAAAAAAATATTTCTTAGTCTTACCTGATGAAAATATCAGCTTGATCTATCGTTTACCGATTAAGCGCGTCCTAAGTAAATAAAATCACGTCGAACCTTGAAAAAACACCTGTCTCTACGAGAGCACTTATTCAACTCGTGCATACCGATTGTTACGCGCGCGCATAAATGCCGAACGTGCGCAGCGCCTCGCGGTGCGTGCGTACCGTGCGTGCGCGCGCATACGCGTACGCGTATGCGTGATCGCCGCGTGACGTATCACGCACGTATACGACGCACGTCCAACGATTTTGTGTGTGTGTGTGTGTCACATATTAGCTCGTCATATATGTACGACATATACGTGCGTGTGTGTGTGGCGCGCGCGCGCGCGCGCGTGCGTTTTGTGCAACGTTACGTTATCTACGCGTACCAACCAACGCGTAGCGCGCAGCCTCGTCAATTCTCGTCGACAGAGAGTTCGTCGATCGCGTTCGCGCGTTTCCTGCGGCCCGTAAATTCGCGATCCGCTAGCTCGACGAGTAAAACCTAGGGGGAGAACGACTCGGCAGGTAGGCCCGCGGCGAATCGGCGCGGCCCGAGGTGGCGGTCCGGTTTTCCCCATCGGCGCCGCGAACAGGTTGAAGGAGCGTCGTTCGGCCCCGCGCGCGCAACCTATATTTTTGTACTCCATGGAAGGGCCATGTAACCTATGCTGTGAGTATCGACTTGGACAATATGTCCCGCGCCTCCACCGGGGGCTCTCCCGGAACGCGGCAACAGGTTCGTAAACGATACGACAGCGTGGCCCCGGGATGGCCCCCGCGCGTCGTTCGTCACCGTGGAGCCGCGTTCCGCGCGAGGTTATGCGAGGACGTAGCTCGTGTAACCTCTGGCTGCACCCATCGTGTACAAAGCTTTTCCCTTGTCTCTCTTTGCTTGGATTTGATTTTTCTTTTTTTTTTTTACTTTCTTTAGACACCGTTGATCGCATTGTGGAATGTACGTAAGCGAATAAATTGGTTTCACTTTCAGAATGAAGTGTAGCAAATGGAAGGTTTTAAGGTGAAAGATGAACCGATGGATGCATTAGCCATAGACAGTCAGGTTATGGTAAACTTTTGTATGAAACAGCAGCAGGTATATGGCATATCACTGGTGCTGTCCAGAGTCTAACGTAACGATTACTTTAAGGATGAGAACATTGTGAGCGTCGTGCTTAAGGAGGAACCAGGTGAAGCCAGATTTGATCCCGACTACATGGAGGATATTTGCTCTGGTACTTTTGAGAAAGGCGCTCTGTTTTTGCCTATCGAAAACAATGATGTGGATTTTTCCAATGAGATGGTAAGCGCATAACGATTAATAGTTTTACAATAATTTTCTGCACAGCTTCTGCACAGTTTTGATATTAAATTGTAATGTTTGTTTTGTAATTAAAAGTATAATTATTTTTATTCTTTTAGCATTATATGTTGTTATGTTACTACATCTTTCCTGAAAATTTTATAAATTCTTATAGGTGAAGTTGGAACTGGAAGGAGAATCAACCAGTCACCAAAACTGGTCACAAATAGCAAATACTAATTTATGTGACAAAGAGGATGGTGTGATGCAACGATGTTTGACTAATACAAATTTCATACAAACCCAAGATTCTGATAAGCATCATGGATTCTGCCAAAATGGACAACAACCGAAGTTCTATAAAATCCAATGCTCAATCTGCAAGAAATGGTTTCTGAACAATGATTCCATGGTGACACATCTAAGGATGCACTGTAGTGGAAATCAATGCGAGGTTTGTCAACAAAGTTTTTCTGACAATTCTAGCCTGCATGCCCACATGTTAACTCACGTTGGAATGAGTCCATTAGAATGCAACATCTGTCAAAAAAGATTTGCTTATAAATGGAGCTTAAGAAGTCACATGCAGTTGCATGTATTGGATAAACCATATGATTGCGATGCATTGCAACAGGCTTTTATGAAGCGAGCCGGTATGAATGAGCAAATAATACAAATGGAGGATAGGCCCTTCGAATGTGATGTCTGCCATGTGACGTTTAAGGAGAAGATTAACTTGAATCGACACATGTCCAATCACACGAATGCAGACAAACTCTATAGATGCACGGTCTGTTTCGAGGCGTTTAAGGAAAAGGCAAAACTGAATATGCATTTGCCGCTGCATGCAGGGAACAAGCATTTCAAGTGTACGATGTGTCATAGATCGTTTACCCAGAAAACTGCGCTCAATAATCACATGCTGGCGCACAGTGGCGAGAAACCGCATGCCTGTAACATTTGCGAGAAAACGTACAAAAGAAAATCAGAATTGATTAGGCATACTATGGTTCACACCGGTGAAAGACCATATGAATGTAAAGAGTGCTTGATGACTTTCCGAGAGAAGGCCAAACTGAATTCTCACATGCTGGTCCATACGGGTGAGAAACCGCACGAATGTCAAATCTGTCATAAAGCATGTGCGAGGAAATCGGATTTGAACAGTCACATGTTGTTACACACCGGCGGTCAATACGATTGCAAAGTTTGCGACAAGATTTTCACCAGGAAGTCTGATCTGAATCGGCACACTCTAATACATACCGGTGAAAAACCGTTTGCGTGCAATATGTGCGACATGGCGTTCCGAGAAAAGACAAGATTAAATTCGCACATGATCATACACACAGGCGATAAGCGGCATGCGTGTCACATTTGCCAGAAGACGTTCAAGGAAAAGTCGTCGTTGAGGAAACATATGTTAAGTCACACCGGTGACAGACCGTATGAATGTTACGTGTGTCATAAAGCTTTCACGCAGAAGACCACGTTGAACAGCCACATCCTGGTTCATGCTGGTGAGAGACCATTTGAATGTAGTACTTGTCAAAAAATATTCAAAGACAAAGCGGCTTTGAAAAAGCACTTGTCGGTGCACGTTAATGAAAAAACACACGAATGTCTTATTTGTATGAAAAAATTCGCCCATAAAACAGCATTGAATAGTCACTTATCCACGAATCACATATCCTAACTACACGGATCTAGTCTATTACGGCTTTCTGTTTCTTTACATTGAGCACCGTATGTTTGTAGTTGTATAGCATATCTCCATAATTACACCTGTATCTGTTTTATATGCCAATAGGTCTCATAAAGTCGTATTTTTTCCTGTGTATGGACAAATAATAAATTAATTTCTAAGTAATACTATTACATGATTTAATATTCCTACCTAAGCAATTGATAAAGCTTCTCTTGTTAAAAATATTTATAATTCGTATTGCACTATATTTAATAAATTATAATTAAATATTATCTAAGAAATAATTGTAAGAAAATATATATTTAAAATATATTTAACTAATTAATATGTTTATGTTAAAAAATTTAATAAAATAGATTAAATATATAAATGAAAACTAAAAATTTGATGAAAAAAGGTGTCTATTTAAAAAAATCTGTAGAATATGAAATAAAGGAATTATAAGTATTAATAATAAAAAATTATTAATCGAAAGCTTATAATTTGATTAAACGTAGAGTACTAATTTTAACAATGTACAAAATAATTATTGTTACTTTAAATCAATAAAAATAAGGACATATAAAAAATATCAAATATAAAGCAGTATATTCCATTTATTTAATTTATATATATATGAATATATATATATATATACATATATATAATAATTATGGAATAAATTCCATATTTCTGGATGGTAGCTAGTTAAAGCTATAAGATATCTGAAACAATATTCAAATTAATTTTAAAAAACATTTTATTTTGCTAATAATATTATTATAATTATATACTATATTTATATAATTATATACTACACATTAAATTATAGTATAATAATATTATACTATAATTTAATGTGAATATAATAAAAAAATTTACAATAGCTTTTTAAAATAATTTTAGATTATTGAAACATTATTTTTTTAATTTTTCAATACATACTCATTCATATTCTGTATCCCATATATCCATTAGCTATTTCCACGACTATTATAGCGATTATTATTCCAATTTTCTCTGTAATCATTGTCTTGCCCCCATCCTCTCATGCCAGAGATATTCATTATCCATCCTAAAAATTGTACATAAATAAATTTAAGATTTATAAATATGAAATTTATAAGATTCAATAATATAACAAATAACTTTAAAATTAAAAGAACAAACGCAATATAACTTATATCTATATAAATGATATTTTATTTATAAAGAAAATTTTATTTTATTTCTATGACTATAAAAGATTAAATAAACAAGTTTGGCTCAGGATACAAGTTTTGTTAACAATACAAGTTTTGTTAATAAATTATATAATAAATTATATAATATTATAAAACGATTAAATAAAAGTTAATAATTGTTAATATAGATAACAATTAATAAGTTTTATTCAAAGTCTTATTCAATTGATCTCTGATCGAGGATTTTTATTATACAGATAAATATTACAACTTACCCATTTGTGCAATACATAGTTGAACTAGTAATGCTAATAAAATCAAATTTAATATGATAATCTTCAAATTTAATATGATGATTGAAATACACTGGATTCTCAACGGACATTGAAAGAAGAACGCCTAATTATATGCAACTAAAATGTCCTTTTATATATTTCTCGATGAGCCGTCATTATCTCTTCATCGTAAAAATATTCGGATAATAACTCGTTTGTTAATATATACTGAGTGTTTTATATAATCATTTATTTTTCGTTGGAATATTAAAAGTGAAGATTATCGCTTATATTATTGGAGATTGGATTTTATTTATATTTATTTAAGAAATTATATCATTATAGAATATATTTTTTTAAAATATATAAAAATTAACAGAAATAAAAAATCAATGACTTTTTTTAACTATCCTATAAAGTTGTTATGGAAAATTACAAATCGATGTACGACCAATTATCGATCATAAAACGATAATTAGAGCTGATGACGCAAATAATTATCCTGCATTATTCTGTGAAGTCTGTTTATTTTTTTTACTGATTAATTAAAGTATGCCTATAAATAAATAATATGCATACAAAGGAGAGATTTTATCTATTTATCATTATATCAATTGCGATAAATAAACACCTCAAGTAAAAATCTTTTTATATATAAAGCTTTACATGAGTCAAGTTAAGCATTTTAATGATTAACTTTGATGACATTAATTAAATGTATATTATATATTGTAATTACATTGTTGTCTGTATTTATTGTTGTCTGTATTTATTATATTTTAATATACTTGTCTTCAGATTAAAATAGTTAACCCTTTACGTTAATAGGATGATTTCCTGACCAGCCTGTAACACAATGAAACGGCAATTTATTAATATATACGTCTGTTAAATAATTAAATTTAAGAATATACGTTTAAAAAATAATCAGAAACTTTATCGGAAACTCACTTCCAGCACTACTGCTGGCAAAAGCGGAGGCACCGCTAGAAGCCCAGGAATTAGGTCCACCTTGATTTTGAACTCCATTGGGAATTCCGCCAAAATTAGTGGATCCTACAAGCATAAAATTGTTTATTAATTTCCAATAAATCTGATATTATCTTTAATTTATTTACTAGCTAATAAGAATTTTTAAAGTATATTCATAATATTTTCAAATAAAACTCCAAATTTCTTTCAGGATAACTGATAAACATTTTATCCTTGAAAATAATCTTTTCATAATCTAAATAAAATCATTTAATATAAATTCTATTTTAATTTAGGAATATTCTAAGTATTGTATAGTATAATATTTATATAAATCTTTGGAGAATTAAATTGCAACAAACCGACGACATTTGCTATTACCTTGTAAAAGATAGAGATATAAGAAGAATTGCTAAGTAATATCACTATTAGATATCACTGATACGATAAATTAATTATGCTAATATGAGTTGTGTATGTGTGTATACCAGCTTTCATAGTCAAAGAACGGAAACGGATACCTGGAACCGGCGCTTACTATTAATTAAGATGCTGCTATCTTTGATTTATGCATCATTGTACGAAGGAACGCATCAATCACACGCGTATTTCCAATCTCTCGTAATACAAACTCGACTGACCTTGAGGCTATTTTTCTCATTGTAAGAGAGATTACATTCTTATCTTGCATATATGCGTCTCGTTAACAAAAAATGCCGCTATAATGTCTCGTAGAGACGTGATATTAATCGTGAGAAGTTTTCCATTGGTATGATCTACTTGACATCACGGGGATATAAACGCCATGAAATTATAAACGCCTCGTTGACTTGATTTACAGTTGGTACTCCATTCTAATAATGTACGGTTTATTAACGCAATACTGTGGTTACCTAATTTTGAATAACCGTCAGCATGCCTATTCGTCTTCTAATAATAGTTTTAATTTTATCATAAATAAAAAAAAACAAAGTTTCTATTAAGTACATTTAATCAACATCATTTCATCATTTTTTATAAGTTCACTGCTTGCATTGTATCATTATACGCAACTTTGTGATTCAATGCTTGCAATATTTTTATAGCAAATTTAAATAAAGCTTTTATATATAAGAGATATTATTTTAAATTTTCAAACAAATATAAAATATGGTTCGCTAAATTACATATTTCTGTGATTTTTAAAGATATTGCCGCGTTGATTATTTTCTACTTTTAAAATGTGATGTTTCAACTAATGAAGATAAGTTGCGTTTTTTTTTACTTTTTTGCATAAAATAATATTATGAATGTATTTGATATTTTAAAAAAGTCTATATTTTGATATGCAATTTTGTATATCTATCATTGAAACGCATTTTTACAAGTTACAAACCTCCTGCGCCAGCAAAACTCGAGCTAGAAGCTTGAGCGAAGGATCCAGCATAAGCTCCCGCATGAGCACCACCGGATGCCGCCAAATTGTTGCCTTCAGCTCCAGGAATACCTGCGCCAGCAACAGTATGACTTGATACGGGATTAACTCCCGGATTTCCAGACCCACCGGGAGCATTGTTAACATTTCCTGGACTTCCAATACCGGTTCCGACATTTCCACCAAATGCTCCTCCCGGATATTTATTGCCTGCGTAACTTCCACTACCAGGTGTTCCACATCCAAATAGACCCAGTTTACATTGTAATGGACCGGCTGGAACTTGAGGATTGCTTCCCGTAGGATAAACTCCATCATTATTTCCAATTTGTGGGGACACTCTGTCAGGATGAAAACCGCCCTTTACACCTGCATAGCTTCCACTTCCTGATATTCCCGATCCAAGAGGATTTCCCGAGATTCCCGATCCGAGAGAACTTCCAGATGTTCCCGATCCAAAAGGACTTCCCGGAGTTCCCGATCCAAGAGAACTTCCCGGTCTTCCTAATCCATGAGGACTTCCCAATATTCCTGATCCAGAAGAACTTCCTGTTCTCGATCCGTCTGGGTGTCCACCATATGACGGACCATTCAAGCCAGTAGTTCCACTTTCAGGTCTTAAAAAAGGATTACTTCCTGATATTCCCGGTTCAGTAGAACTTCCTGGTGCTCCGTCTGAATATCCATCGTATGACGGACTGCCTGAGCCAATATTTCCACTTCCAGAAGGTTTAAGAAAGGGATTATTTTTTGATATTTCCGATCCGTCTAAATGTTCACCATATGACGGGCCACCTAAGCCACTATTTCCACTTCCCGAAGGTCTAAGAAAGGGATTACTTCCTGATATTCCGGATCCAAGAGAATCTCCTGATGTTCCCAGTCCGTCTGGATGTCCACCATGTAATGGATTACTTAGTTCTCTATTTTCGTCTCCAAAAGGTCTCTTAAGAAAAGGATTACTTCCTTCTGGTTTTTTTCTTTCGAGCGGAATCACACCTTCGTTAGGATTAATACTTCCCTTGCTACCATCCAAGAAAGGATTTCCTTGACCAATAGGCTTGGTACTTCCTTCTCCATGAGGAATTATATTTTTATCGTTGTTAATGCTATATTCAGGTTTAGGACTACTCCAATTCGGATCGAGGAAAGGATTTCCTTTACCAATCGGTTTATCTGTAGTTTCAGTCCAAGAATGTGAAACATCACTTGGAAGTCTGCCTAAATAATGAATTAAAAATTAAGATATACATAGCATTTGTATATTTCTTAATATAAATTTTTATAGGCTTAGCTTATTATAAAAGTTTTAAAAAATTTATATTGCATTATTTTAGAATGTTTTGATTACTTTAGTATAGTAAAAGATATATAGATATATATCTAAATAAAAGATATATAATTTATAAATTATAAAAATAAGAAAAAAATCTTCAATTATTGTACATTATCAACATACCTCCATATAAGAATGGATTTGCAGGATTCCATTGCACAGGACCTTCTGATGTTGTACCTACAATAAAGATTAAAATCTAAATTTAAGCTTTAATTATATTTATAGCTAAAGAATACGATAATATATAATATCTCTTCTATAATTTTATACATTGCTTAACCAATTAATTATTTTTTCATTAGTTAAAATATTTTCATTGATTCATAAATACTATCACTCTCACTCTCACTTTTATTACCTTGATTAATTCCAGGATAGGATTCAACACCGGAACCAGGATATGATCCAATATTTGGAACGTTGCCATCGCCAGTTCCAGCGGGATAATATGTTTTATTAACGCCACTGGGTCCTATTGTTCCACCACACAATCCATGTGTCGCTGGTACATTATTACTTCCTCCACTACAATCACCGCAATTATAATTTCCGCAACATCCTCCACAACTGCTACCTCGTCCGTAAGAACCTGCAGCATCTCCACAATATACATTTGAGCATGCAGATCCGCTTCCATGTCCAGATTGTCCCCGATTTGGCCATGTCCCACTTCCGTCTCCAGGTTGTTTGCTAGGCCAAGTTCCACCTTCAGGTTGTCTGGTAGGCCACGTGCCACTTCCACCTTCAGGTTGTCTGGTAGGCCACGTGCCACTTCCACCTTCAGGTTGTTTACCAGGCCAGGTTCCGCTAGCGCTTGGAAGATGTCTGCTGGGCGTAACTCCACTTCCGTCTTCAGGTTTTCTACTAGACCAAGGTACATTACTACTTCCAGGCTGTCCTCCAGGCCAGGTACCACTTATAGGATATCTATCAGATATAGTTCCTCTTTCAGGTTGTTTACTAGGCCAAGTATTACCTCCACTATTAGGATATGTACTTAAAGGAGTAGTTCCATAAGTAGGTCTTTTACTTCCAACGGAACCTTTGATTCCAGGAGTATAACTTCTATCTCCATTGTGTGTCGGAGTTGTACCATAAATTGAAGTTGTTCCGGTTATGCTGGGAGTGCTATGTGCACCAAGAGATGTTCCAAACGATGTATTTGCACCAGCGCTTGCAGTTGCGCTACTACTCGCGATATTAAAACTAGGTTGTTTTGGTCTCGTTCTGTCATATGGAGTGGATAACGTAGAACTCGGAATGCTCACGTGACTAAGCGGAGTTTTAGTTGTAGGAAATCCAATATAAGGACCCGTAGTTCCTGTACCCTGCCAAGTGTTTCCGCCAGAACTCGGTTTGGTAACACTCGGATGCTCATAAATGCCACTTCCACCTGGAGATCCCGGCAATTTTCCAGGAGTATATACGTTACCTTGAATAGAACCAGGTGAACCAATTCCTCCATATGGTCTTTCGGTAGTTCCAAATGTATTTGTTATAGTCGTAGGCCAAGTTCCATGAGAACCAATTCCATGTCCATGTTTATTATAATTAGGAATATTTCCTGGAGTATAAGTACTACTACCAGAGAATGCTTGATCTGTTGGATATGGTCCATATGATGTCTGAGTGCTTGCTGGTTTGTCAAAACCAAATGGTTGATCCTTCTTTTCAAAATTAGGTGCTCCTCCATAAGGACTTCCAGTACCAGTTGTTACACCTGCTCCAGCATAAGCACTAGCAAATGTGCCTGTATATATGAGAATATTATATGTTTGTTTTTATATTTGCTTTTTATAATAAATATTAATATGATAGATATTTTATTATTTCTTATATGATGCGTTATGTAAAACTTAAATTGCATTTAATATTAATTTCTTATTAATTCTTGTTATAAAACAGGATATTTTTTTATTATTTTATTATTAATAACAATAAAAATGTCTAAAAATTATTATACAAGTATATACTTTGTGTTCCAGGTTGTCCGTAAGGTCTGTTCTGTGGATGACTGTATACCGGAGATGAACTACTTCCTACATGTGATATTGCAGGTGAAGTACCACTCGGGAATTGACCACTTTTTGTCTGACTAATAGGCGTGGCGCCTGGCTTGACAGGCACTTGCTTCCCTGGTTACAATATTAACATATTATAACATATATATACTATAAATAATAAATTCTGAAAAAATGAAAAATTTTAAATATATTATCTATTCTCTTTATAAAAAAATTATCATACATACCTTGGCTACAATCCGAATCAGTTTGAGTACAACTAGATGTACCAGGCGTAATACCTTGATCAGGATTCCAGTTTGATTCAGGTTTATCGTCGGGTCTAGTATTCCAATTTTGTCCAGGTTTCGGCGTTGTTCCAAAATTTCCACCGGTACTCCATGGAACACCAGGTCTTGACGTAGATGGAAATCCTCCGGTATTATCGTACCGAGGCCAATTTGATTCTGGTTTCGGTGTGACACCGAAACTTGCAGTAGGTGTACTGCCATGACCAGTATTCCAACTCGGTGCAGGTTTTTGTGAAGAGGGAAACCCTGCCGTTGGAACTCCGTCATGTTTAGTGTTCCATCCTTGCCCGGGTTTAGACGTTGCACCAGGTCCTTGTGAAGAAGGAAATCTGCCGGCCGGCACACTGGATCCGGTACTCCAACTTGGGCCCCCAGGTTTCGACGTTGTTCCAAAGTTTCCACCAAAATTCCAAGAAACACCAGGTTTTGATGTAGATGGAAATCCAGCTGGACTTCCAGCTGGAGTGTCGTGTCTATCACTCCAAACAGGTGTCGATGGAGATCCAAAACTCGGAGTTGTTCCTCTATTCCAAGAGCTCGGTGTTGTACCCTCGGTTTTGCTACCATGAACGTACAAAGGACTACCAGGTCTATTTTCTCCGGTGGCTCCGTCGTCAACATAGACGCCCGTAGGTCCTATCTTGTGCACGCCGGGTGGACGCGATCCTGGTTTGTGTCCTTTAGTAGAACCATGATGATGCGTTTTATCAGGCCTATATTGACCGTCATCACATTCATCCCCGTTGTCCTCGTCTCCTTCCTCCTCCGGCTCGTCTCGTTCCCAATAATCGTCATTCTCCCATTTGCATTTAGAACAGTCATTACTGTTCTTATTATAGCCGTGACCTCCGCTTTTTATTCCATGATCATCGCTGGCGCCATGTCCTGAAGGTGTGCCGTAGGATTTTACACCACGATTAGCATTGATGTCGTGGGGAAAACCAGTGCTATCGTAACTACGAATTCCCTTATGTCCATCGTGAGTTCCATGAGTATTTTCTGTTTCTCCAAACACACTAGTGCTGCTTAATGCAGATGCACTAGCGCCAGATGCACCAGCATATGCACCGATTGATGCACTGCCTAAAAAAGAAACTTCACTTTTAACAATATTTAAATTAAAATATATGCATTTAAAATATATTTTTTTTATTTATTTATTCAAAGTTTTACATGGAAAGTACAATCAACGAGTAATAACTATCATTTTGAATTAATTTAATATTTATTCTAAATCATCACATGTACATTCATTAAAATTTTCAAATAAAATAATCCAGGTGTGAATATAATTAGTAAAGATCTGAACATGTCAAAATTTATATGATGCAGAAGAAAAATAAACTTATCTTTCACAAGAATAAAACTAATCAGATATTTCTAATTTGTCCACAAATCATTTGTCCACAAATCAATTGTCAACACTTACGAATGAAACATTGTAAATGTTCAATAATTTATAACAGAAAATATTTCACAATCCGCGTAAAAAAGATAAAAATTCCTTCGTAGATAGTAATAATAACCATATATGTAATTATGACGCGATAGTACCAAGGAGATGACCTCCAATATTATTTATAAGGATGATTTCATTGCATTGCACACAAAGGAAAAAATAATATACATACCGGTGCTGGTGTCTTCATTGTCTGTTTCACGTGCACCTGAAATTTGAAACAATATAAGTTTATGGTTTTTATAAACTATAATAAATTAAAGTTATTAAATTTTATCAGATACCAAAAATACTTTCCCAAATAATTTTAATGTGATATACATAATTATATATGTTATATATGATTAATACAAATTATGTTATTACAAATTGTATTGTTAATTAAATTCATAAATAAACAATACAATTTACTTTTAAAAATAAATATAATATTATAATATTGTTTGATCAAAAGCAGCCTATCCGATTTTTAAAACATTTTTATTTTCTTAATTCATATTTACACATTTTGTATCGGAATAAATATTCTTTTTTACTATATATTTTTTTCAATACAAAGCAAAAGAAGAGACAAATAGATAATAAAAAAAAATTTATAAAAATTGTATTAAATTATATATAATTCATTAAATTTAGTATTTAATTGAAATAATTGAAAGATCAAATATCTGAAGGACCTATTCTTTCGTACGATATATGTGCAATTGTACTTTGTGTCTTTTAAAAATTTGACTCGCCTAGTTGATTGCAATTATTATGCAAAACAAAAAAAATAGATTTTTCAATGGACTACCTGAGCCGGCGAAAAACGCGCACGTGAGTAACACCACCACTAAAGAACACTTGAAGCTGCGGATCCACATTTCAGCAATCTCAGCAGAGGCCGGCTCACGAATGTCGCTTTACCGGTTGCCTCGTTTGCACTGCGGCGCCGATTGCCGGTTCATTGCCAAGAGTGTCTTGATCGAAAGCTCATATATATATATATATATATATATATATATATATATATATATATATATATATATATATAACA